TTAAAAGTTTAAAATTAGAACTAAAGATTTTATTATGGTGCTATTACAACAAACACAAAATTAACGTGTGTGAAGTAATCTACGGGTGGACAGCTATCAACGAAGTAGAAGTTGATAATGACAGGGAGAGTGTTTTAGATGTTAAATTTTGAACTGGGTGCAGTGTGACAGCGACGTGAGTGTTATACACCTGATGATGGCCGTCTGAGGCCGAAACATGTAGTGTAGGGAGCAAGATCAAAGACACAAGAATATATTGTTTGCACTTGAGACGGAGGTTATATCATTTACCATACATTACCATTAAGGGTCACTGATAACTTCCGTCTTCTAAGATTAATATTACTGTTACTGCTGTCATTTACTGCCACTGCTACTACTGGTACTGCTGCTACTACTGCTACTACTACCCTACTTCTGATACTGATACCACTACTCTTACTGCTTCCGCTACTGCTACTACTGCTGCTGCTGATACCACCACTACTACTACTACTGCTACTTCTGCTATTGACATACTGCTATTAGAAACCGACAGCTAAACTATACCAAAGCCCCTAAAGATTCTTCTTCTTATTAGTATCATTTGACTAATATGTACAAACTGAGATGAAATGTTCTTACGGACAAATGACCAGGCTGTGCGTACCTTCCGAATTCTGCATCATAAGCAGATACACCCAAACTCGTGTAATTGGGATAAAGATGGTCGGAACACTAGCCTCACCTTCACTATCTCCGAATTTTGCCATGGATTGTCTCAAAACAGCGGGCAATCAGTATCATGCTTTTATACTTATGCACTTCGTCAAAAGCATAAAAGTGAACGTGTCTCCATGTCATCAAACTTGATGCTGGGAAGCAACATTCTGAATCACACGGCCTTGTGCAGTCCCAGTCTGACAAAGCCATCCATCTCGCACCAGATGGCTTGAATGTAAGGGTCTAAGTGTTTCATACATATACGCGTATTGGGCTATCAGCAAAGAAGTAAGTGACGTCACGCTGCAGGAAAAGAATTCATTAGATGGACGAACACAAAGAAACCGCTGAATTCCTCTCAAATTTGTGGAAAAGTACACATCTACACATTTTAGTGCAGTTATACATAGCAAGTACACAAATCGAACACACTATAAACAGGCAAGCGGAAAATGGGCCGAAAAGGCAGCAGTAGAGCCCATCAAACATGAGCTAATGGGCAGGAAAATTGGGTAACGCTTTGTATGGCAGACACTCGATACAGAGCACATCGCCGATTTCCCGAAATCTGTGAGACATGTACATTAAAGATGTAAAAGACAGCAAAGGAACCTAATGGATAATCATAACAAGGAATTATTCATATCATTAGTTAGTGAGAGTGGCCTTAAGTAGGCCTAATGTTGGCCTTAAAATAAAGGAAAGGAAACCGCTCGTAATAATATTTGTATAATAATACAATTAAACTAAAAATATGTTAAAACATTAAAACAAAATATAAGTAAAATTTTGTTCAATTAGAACCTCAAGTAAAGTGGCTCTTAAAAATGAATTAAATTTAATGAAAAATGCATATGGGAATACTCGCAAGATATAGGAGTGTCATATACCAAGTTTCATAAGAATCTGTCATATGTGAAGGATTAATCAGACTCTGAAGTAAAAATGCTCTTGAAATGGGTTCAAATGAACAAAATGTACATTTACCAACAGCGATATAACAAGGGAATCATATACAGAATGTCCAAACATGAACATAACGAGAAGACGAGTTAAACGAAACTCAAGTCTCCAAGGTTCGACTATTTCTCGAAGTAAATAATCCCTTAAAATAACAGAACTAAAATAAAAATAGTAAAGTAAGTAAAGGTATCCGTGTAACAGGCACTGAAGGCCCATAGGGCTGTGAGATGTTGAGGTTCCCACGTTTTCTGCACAACTGGCTCATGGTGGCAGCAAGGTTGTCAGCCCTACGCGCCGGCCGCCCTTTACCCCCAAGAACATTCACAAGAATATTCCTGGTACTCATTTCTGTTAAAGGCTGAGTCGACCCCAGGGCCATAGTGCGGCTGGAAGGATTAGGTAAATTGAAAAAAATCCAATGACCTCATCGGGATTCGATCCCACGACCATCCGGCTTGTAACATAGTGCCTCAACCAACTACTCTATCGCGTGCCCCTAAACGAAACATAGAATGGAACAAACACTTAGTGTCCACTATACCGAATTTGTTAGAAAATGAACACGCGGTTTAGACCTTGTTAA